ATAGAAACCATCAGGAGAATCAGAGACCTCAAGTGCCAAAAAGTAATGAAAAGGACCCAAGCTCTTCATATCAAACTACTAACTAAAATATGTCTGTAGATCAGAAATATCAGGCGCATCATCTCCTATGACAACATGGGGTAACAGCAAGAAGATAACTATCATTGAGGAAGAACGACAAATAAACCAGAATCGTAACAACATGTGGTAAAACCAAACTCCAAGTGCATAGATCTAAAAGTGGCATACCAGGCCCGATGGGCCTACTTCAACCCATATAAAGCATAGCGTAAACGACAAACCTTCCCAGAAGATGGAAAACCTGGAGGATGAGTCATATAAACTTTTTCAAAAAGAGTGTCATGTAAAATTGCATTCTTGACATCTAATTGAACAAAAGACTAGAAACGAACAACAACAACGACAATGAGACAACGAATAGTAGTGAGACAAGCAACGGGAGCAAAAGTCTCCTCATAGTCAACTCCATATTCTTGCAAATAATCTTAAGGCACCGGACGAGCGTTGTAGCTCTCAACACAACCATCAAAATGAGTTTTGATTTTAAAAATCTACTTGCATCCAATAAGTGTCTTGCTAGAGGGCAAATCCACTAAATTCCAAGTGTGAGTATTTTCTAAAGCCTGCAATTCCTCAATCATAATTTGTTACCATAATGGATCAGCATACGCCTTATGAAATAACCTAGGCTCATGGTGAGATAAAATGACAAAGTAACAATGATAATTAATAAGGTGAGAATGAGGTTTACTTACACGGGTGGAGCGACGACAATTATGGAGAGGCACAGGAGGAGGTCTCGGCTCAGGAAGATCATACAAATCAACTCCAGGAGACGGTGACAAGAGAAATTGATCGATGAGTTGTGGAGAAGGGGAAAAAGAAGTGTCTGGGAAAAGATCAGAGAGATAAGATGAAAAAAATGGAGAAGATGAGTAGAACGGTGTGCTAAACTTGGATAAGATGGAGAAAGAGGTGTGGTCCCAAAATGTGACATGACGGGATATATGCAACTTATTAGATATAGGATCCCAACACCTATAGTCTTTGTGTTCGGCTTCATTACCGAAAAAACAATATAAAGGGACATGAGGTTGGAGCTTTGTCTGCGCTCATAGGGAGGGAGGAGGACAAAGCACACACAATCAAAGGGATAAAACAAACTATAATCAGAGGACTGACCAAATAAACGCTCGAAAGGGACTGACATCATGACGGACAAAGTAGGGTAATCGATTAATAATATGACAACAGTCAAGGCTGTTTTCCCCAAAAAAAATGATCTGGACACTTAGCAGAAAGAAAAAAGGCACGAACAGTATCGAGAATGTGACGATGTTTGCGTTCTGCTCGCCTATTATGTTAGGACGTATAAGGATAGGAACGTTGTACCATGATACCCTGGTTTGATAGAAACTGCAAAAACGATGACTTATTGTACTCACAAGCATTATCAGTACGGAGGACTTTAATAGGGCATGAGAATTAAGTGAATAATTTGGGCAAACTGAGCATATATAGTTGGCAATTCATAACGATTTAAAAAAAAATTAAGTTCAAGTAAATCGTGAAAAATTATCAATAAAGAGAACATAATATTGAAAACCACTTATAGACGCAACAAGAGAGGGACCCCAAATATCAGAGTGCACTAAAGAAAAAAGTTTAGTAGCAGTAGATGAAATTTCTGAAAAATAAAAGCAAGTTGTTTGCCAAATTTTCAATCGACACTATTAAAAGACTCAAAATGACCTGGATCTAAAAGACCTTTAGTATGGAGTGACTGGAAGACGCATGACCTAGAAAAAAGATGTCAATGAAGGCTGGAGAGATAAGAGGTGAGAGCTGCTGAGCGGGGATATGTGCAGGAGGTATGAAGAGACTCAAGCTCAAATAATCGAGCCGTCTTGCGGCCCGTCCCGAAAAGCTAACCCATCTGAGAATCCTGAACCTGCATACAATAAAAAGGGAATGTAACATTAAGACCTTGTTCAACTAAGTGATCAACAAATATAAGATTTAAGGCTAAAACAAGAACGCAATAAGTATCATGAAGATATAGGGAAAAAGAGAACACAAGACCGGTATGGATAATATGCATTGAAGTACCATTGACAGTATGTATAGGCGGTAAATGGGAGACAAGAGACATAAATGACAAGTTATGAGGGTTTGGGGTCATGTGGTGACAATATCCAGAATTAAAATACCAAGTAGGTGTACCTAGAGTAGCCAACATAACAAAATTGGATTGGATAACTTGTTTGAGAATGACTTTTATATCGTGAAGAGTATAAGGTGAATGTTGAGGTTCATTAGTAACATCAACTGTAACTGAAGAAGAAGTAGTCAAAGAAGATTTACTAGACTTCCAAGGTTTGGAAACTGAACCACATGAATGTATGGGAGCAGAAGTATCGAAATATCGGAGAGCAGAACAACTGGAATGCTGAGATCTTGTGGGATAAGACGGAGCAATATGATCATTTAAATGACAAATGTAACACTCAATCTTTGGACAAGTGGCAAAAGTGTGATAAGAAGTATTGCAAACTCGACATCCAGTACTGGGAGATCAGGACATGTGAGACATAGCTAGAGCATAATTAGAACTCGGTGTCTTAACTAACTGGACTCGAGTCTTCTCAAATATAATCTACTAAATAGCAGCATCAAGGGTAGATAATGAATGTTGATGTAGAAGTGATGTACGAACAACCTCATATTTAGGGCGAAGGGCCATCAAGATCTGAATAAAGTCAAGATAGTTCTGACTAATCTGTGTCTGCCGGAGACGATAGCAAATAGGCTGAACCTGAGCAAGCAAGAAACTCGTTAACATACTGACCAAGTTGCTGTCGGATGGAGCTCAGCGTGGTCCAAAGATGATTAATGAGCAAGACCTATAATCTTAAAACGAGTAGCAAGGAAATCTCATGCCTCTTTGCAGTATCAAAATGAGTCAATTGTATTTGAATCCTAGGTACATAGGTGTTGGGCAACCAAGCAAGGATCTGATCACCTTGAGAGACTTCCCAAGGGGTCATCTATTCTCAAATTACTCTAGGGCAAACATGCTTAACTCTAGAGTTCTTTTAGTAGGGTTTCGGAAAAGGAATGTGCACTTTGTTGACATGAATAGTCTATTCAATTCATTTAACTTATATTCAATCTTGGATGGCCTGAAAGGTGGGACCAACATTAACAAGAGGAGCTTAAGAGATAGGTGAAAGGACATTGCCTGTGACAATACACCATAATTTCCTACAAATCAGGAAATTTCTCATAAACTGCATCCAAATATCAGAATTATCTTCGGACAAGATAATAGTAATAGGAGAGTAAACATTCATACACTCCATAAAAAAGGATATGCAAATCACGAAATTAAGATCTAGATCGAGAAATCAGATGGAATAATCCAACCCGTTAATAGCAGTAAAATAAAATCAACTTCGATGACAAAATCAACCACACCACGACGTAGGAAATCAAAGTAGGAGGCTGCGGATGGAAAACAATGGCCAGACGCGCCCTCATGCGCGGCCGGAAGATGGTAGCGGAAATTCTTTTTCTGCCACGATTTGTGTTTGTGGCGCGTGAGTGGCGGACGCACAGCTATTGGCGGAAAAATTTATGTGCTCGGCCGGCGAAGATGTGGCAGTGCCAATGGTTACGGCGGTCTCAACCAGATCACGACATTATATAAAAAAATCGGGCTCTGTTATCATGTTAAAATTTGGAGAAAAATTATAAAAATTGTATTATTACAAAAATAAGAGCATACAAATATATATACACCTATGTTGACATGCAATGATTAAATGATCAGATCTCTTATGTTCTTTCACAGTTTGAATTTAATGTACTCCTTCCGTCCTAGAAATAAGTATCCATTTGCTTTTTTACGTAGTTTTAGAAATATTAGTATTATATTGAGATATAGTAGGAATAAAGTAGAAAAGACCAAAATAACCTTATTAGTATGTGTGATATAAATGTGTAATATATTGTAAGTTGTAAAGGTATTTGTAATGTTAGGTAGATAGTACAGTTACTAAAAGAGGAAATTGATACTTTGTTATGAGACGGACTAAAATGAAAAAATGGATATTTTGTTATGGGACGGAGGGAGTATTTACTATAAAATAAATAGACATTATTTTTATTTTTTATTTTTATAAAAATATATTACTCTCTCTATCTCACTTAATTTGTCAACTCTTTCTATTTTCGCTTGTCTCACATAATTTGTCTTTTTTTTTGAAATATAAGCATACACTTTAATCACATATTAAAATTCATAATTTATATTTTTTTATTTTAATTAAACTATTTAATCATATTAATCTTAACCTATAATTATTTTTATTAAATTATAATTATTTTTACTAATACATTTCTTAATTACTTATTAATTATACAATACCTAAAACTTCGTGTCTAAGTTAATAGGGATAAATTAACTGTGACGTAGATAGTAATTTTTTTTATGTAAACTATTACATTTAAACTAAAAATATATACTAAAATCGAAAAATAAAATTGTCCTATATAGACTCTCTGTAGTACTATTTATTTATATATATAAATAATTTTACTCAAACCATTTATCAAATATATATTCATTTAAATTAAAATTTCAATAAATGTGATATTATATTAACTTATTGTAATAAAAAATAAAATTATTTTTAAAATTATATTAATATATTAATAAGGTAAAAGAAAAATAGATAAATTGAATAGAAAAAAGTATGTAATTTTATGGGAAAAAAACAAACATATGTGTTGGATTTTAGTCCAAATTAGATCCACCATATTAAATACAATAATACACCCATTAAGCAGCTCATAAATACCTACCCAGCCCACAGCTCACGACCCGCACCTCTGACCCACGACCCGCTTTGTCTGACCCGCCTTTACTATGATCCGCGTCTTTTATAAGATATCTGTTCCTAGCCGTCCGATGGAGGGTTTTAATCTAAGCCGTCCCTTTCTTATTTGCCCTAGATATATAAAGCTAGAGGAGCAGCCGCCTCTATATATTTTTCAATATACTCACTCTCTCTCTATATCTCTCTACCCTATCTCTAGCCTTTTTGCCCTCTCTCGTGCAACATCTTCCGGCGGTTCTTCGGCGGCGTTGCCTTCTTCCTTTTGTGTGAAGTTTCTTGGCATGGTTTGATTCTCCTGTTTGTTTATTAGAGCCGCAAGGGGCTCTTTCAACCCGGTAGGTGTCTGTTTTGTTGTGTGGTGCTTTGTCTTTGTGCTATGGGGTTCTTTTTTGTCGAGTCGTGGGTTCCTAGGGTTGGTTTTGTGTGTTCGTCGCATTTCGGGTGTATATTGTGTTGATTTTCTGCCAAACAAGTGGTTTTGGGGACTGAGCCTAAAACAAAAACTAGTTCAAAGTTTTTACCCTATTTTCGTTAATAAAATCAAATTTCGGTCCTTTATATTTCATTACAAGTGGTATCAGAGCTTTTGGTGAAGATTTTGTTTACAAAATTATCTTTATTATTTATTTTGTAAAGATTTGGTTTAAATCTTTTAAGATCTGAAAGGATCCGGTTGAATCGGCCTATTTTTTGAAGTGTTCGATGTTTTTCCTTTTAGATCTTTGTCAAAATCGGCTCATCGTGTTTTTTTCCTTGTTTTTTAGGCCTTGGTTGAGTTTTCCTTTTATGAAATCGTCTTTACTTTTTGATTTTGTAAGGATCTGCTCAAAACCAAAGCGATCCATAAGAAATCGAAAGGATCCGGTTGAATCGAACTTATTTTACTGTGTTCGGTTCTTTTCCTTTGATTTCGTGTCTATATCGGCCTATTGAGTTTCGATCCGTGCTAATATAGCCGCGGTCGAATTTTTAATGTTGGGTTTGGACTTAATCGCTATAGTTTTTTGTAGATCAGTTAAGTTCGAGTCCTTTTCGGTTAGAACGGTTCAAAATCGTTTTGATTTGGTGAAAACCGATTTTGTCCGTTGTTATTTTAAGAAAATAAACCGTAAAATTTGTTGCTTCGCCTTATTTTCGTTTAGATTTGTGCTTGTTGGGTTAAAATCTAAAAGTTTTTCCAAAATCTTTAAAGTTTTGTTAAAACTGTTTAAATCTTGAAAATCGTGACTATTTTTGGGTTAAAATCTTTAAATCTCAAACTGTTTTTCAAGGATCTTGTTAAAACTGTTTATGTGGCCTAGTGTCTCTGTTCTTGAGTTTCAGTGACTCTAACTTTGGTTAGAGGAGAAACATTGTTTCTGGTTTGTTGTTATTAGTTGACTAACCTCTATTCTTGAAAAAGTATAGGTTATTTGTATATATCCTTGTACTTTTGTAGGGAATATATTGTTGTTGTGTTTCGAGGGTAAACTCTATAACCCTAACTATTTTATTGCTGTTATTTTTTCTTTAGTTTAATATCCGCATTTAATTTCCGCTCAATTGATTGTAACGGCTATTGTGATACCAAGATTGCAAAATTCCAATCCTCACTTTTTTGAGTGATTTTCGAGTACTTTTGGTGGAATAGTCACAAGTGAATGTTGTAATAGATAGGCTTTTTTTCTTATTATTTTCCTGTGATTGCAATATTCTGTGATATATTTGTTGTTGTGTTTAATTGATGTGTTTGTTTATGTTAATTGTTGTTGATGTGCTGTGATTTAGATGTTTGTTTGGTTCTCAATTTGTTTTAAAATAATCTGTATTTTTGATAAAAAAAAAAAATTTCAATACTTTTTTTTAAAAACAAACAGTTTTTTTCCAACAAATTGTGTTTTTCGAATTTTTTTTTTTTTTTTACTAAAACTGTTTTCGAAAATTGATAATCATGGCTAGGCAAACATTTTTAAATATCCAACCTTTTGATGGAAAAAATGATTTTGCTATTTGGAAACAAAAAATGAGAAGTATACTTGTTACTCAAAGATTAACTAAAGCTGTGGAGCCGGATCAATCAACTACAGTCCCTCTCGAAAGGAGGGCTGAGTTGGATAAAATGGCTTCGTCTTGTATAATTCTAAATTTAGCTGATCATGTCGTTCGTAAGGTTGGTAGACAAGAATGTGCTGTGGCATTGTGGAATAAAATGGATGAATTATATACTCAAACTTTTTTACCTAGTAGGCTTTATTTTTAGAAAAGTTCTTTAGTTTTAAACTTGATCAATCTAAAACTATTGATGAAAATTTTGATATTTTTCAAAAATTAATTCAAGATATTAAGCTTACTGGTGATAAGAATATAGATTATTATAGTGCTATAATTCTTTTGAATGCTATTCCAAGTGATTTTTCCGATGTAAAATCGGCAATTAAATATGGGCTTGATTTTGTGACTTTAGATATGGTTATTAATGGTTTGAAAAGTAAAGAATTAGATTTGAATGTAAATAAATCTAATAAATCTGGTATGTTATGTTTATTAGGGGTAGGTCTCCTTTTAGATCTTATAAGAATAATAATTTTGGAAATTCTGATAGTAAAATAAAAAATCAAACTAATAACATAAATCGAAATAGATCTAAAACTCCTAATAAAGAAGAAAATAGATGTTATAATTGTGGTGATCCTTCACAATTTGTTAAATATTGCCCTAAGAAACATAATAATAATAACGGTAATAAAAATAATAGTAATGCAGCAAGTGAGTTAGCCAATATGAATATTATTGATAATGATTTAGGGAACATGTTTGCTTTTTGTCCAGATTTAAATTCAAATTTTTTGAGTGCTAATGAATGGATAGTTGATTCTTCTTGCACATTTCATATGACACTTTTGAAAAATACTTTTTCTGAGTTTAAGACTTTAACACATTGTTATGTGACTATGGCTGATAAACATATGTGTAAAGTTGAAGGAATTGGTGTTGTTAATCTGAAATTTAAATTTGGAAATGTACTGAAATTGCATGATGTGAGATATATGCCTAAATTGTCTAATAATCTGTTGTCATGTGTTAGATTATCTACTCTAGGTTTATATGGAAAGTGGGGTTTAAATTGCATGAAAATAACAAAAGAGTCTTTAGTAATTTTTAGGGCAGAATTGAAAAATGACTTATATATAACCTTCGCTATACCTGTGAATTTATGTTCTGATATAGATAATTCTAAAATTGCTAATTCTGAATTATGGCATAAGAGATTAAGTCATATTAGCAATAATGGCTTGAAAATTCTGCATGAATCTGGTTATTTGGAAAATGAGAAATTTTCTACTGTTCCATTTTGTAATAGATGCAAACCTAGAAAATTAAATAAAGTTCAATTTTTGTCGAAAACCCCTGAAAATTATATTTTTTTCAAAAAAGTTTTTGGAATGTATACATATAGATATATGTGAACCTTCTAATGAACCCACTTATGGTGGGAGTAGTTATATCTTAACTATTGTTGACGATTTTTCTAGAAAAATTTAGATTTTCTTATTGAAAAATAAACCTGATTTGTTTAAGGTTTTCAAGAATTGGAAAATTCAAATTGAAATTAAAACTTGCAGAAAAATTAAATATATTAAAAATGATAATGGTTTAAATTTCTGTAACACCTGGTTTAGTAATTTTTGTGTGCAAAATTGTATCAATTTTGAATCTGTCCCAAAGGCATCCCAATTTAGTGGGGTTGCTGAGAGGTTAAATCAGACTCTTTTGGAAAGAGTTGGATGTCTTTTGACGTCGTCTGGTTTACCTAGAAATTTCTGGGGTGAAGCTGTTGTAACATCAGTCTATCTTTTAAATCAAACACCCTCTATCTCTCTTAATGGTGAAATTCCTGAAAGTAAGTTGTTGGGTAGAATAGTCGACATATTTAATGTTCGTGTGTTTGGGTGTATTGCTGTGATACATGTTTGCATTGATGAATTTGAAATGAAAACTGAAAATTGTGTTTTCTTAGGTTATGGTATTACGGGGTATAGATTGTGGTTAAGTTCTAGACCCGGTTTTAAAACTATTATTAGTAATAATATGACATTTAAAGAATGTTGTATGCCATGTTTGAATATTGGAGAATCTGAATTTGTTGATTATGAAACTATTGATATTAATACAAATTTTTGTAATATAGGAAATAAGGTGGAATATAATTTGATTGATATAGAAAACAAAGAAATTAAACCTGTAAAATCTGATTTTCGTTTTGAATGTACTGATATTCAACATGCTGTCTGTGAATCCAAAAATGTCCAATTTGTTGACATTGAAATTACTGAGACCGATTATGTAATTAACTGTAGTTTTGCTGAAAGTGTGTCTGTTCTAAGAAACGAAAATTTAGAGGTTGAGAGAGTGAGAGATTATGTTTTTAATTGTGATGATATTAATTCTGTTTCTGATGAAAATTGTGTTCAATCTGCTGAAATTGTGCAAATTGATGTTGAAACTGATAATATCAAATTTGAGAGAGAAATTAATAATGTTTTTTATAGTGTTCAAAATGAGGTGGAGTTTGTTTTATATAATGAAACTGATATTTTTGTTGGTGATTTTCGAATCTTATTTGTTGCTGGCCAGTTTGTTGTGAGTAAATCAGAAAATACAATTTCTGAAATTAAAAGCAATGTTGGAATTGTTTTAAATCATAGTAATGAGATTGAAAATTACCTATTTGTTAGAGATGATGTTAGAAATAATCGTAAAATGTTCTCTATATTTGATAATTTTGATTCACCTTCTTTACCTAGAAGCATGTTTGAGAATTTAGATGTGGATGAACCTATGAGTGATAGGAAATTGTTTAATTCCGAAAGTAAGTCTCAATGTTTAGTGGTAAAAGAAAATAAGAGCTCATTAGTTGATAATAAATGTTTGAAATCAGTCTTAGGTTTTGTCATTGGCTTCTTTGCATTGTGTTACCATTGGTTGTGAATGATATGAAACTTGTGAACTTTGCTATTGTTCTTGTTTGTATATTATGTGCTACATTTTTTGGTTGTATGAGACATTTACAATGTAATGTAGTTCTGTCGAAGTTTGGATTTGAATATATTCCTATTGTTGAAGATACAATATTGTGGAAAATTAAGAAACTTGTATCTTGTTTGAAAATAATATGTTTTGATACATTTGATTAGTTGTGTTCTACATATGTGTAGATGGTATACTAAATTAATGTATTATTTGACTAACTTGGTTATCCTTTTCTTTGTGCAGGTAAGTAATCCAAATTTATAGGCAATGATGACCCTTAACACTCGGACCAAAATTAGGTGGAGGATTTGTTGGATTTTAGTCCAAATTAGATCCACCCTATTAAACACAATAATACACCCATTAAGCAGCCCATAAATACCTACCCAGCCCACGACCCGCGCCTCGGAGCCGCCTATAGTATGACCCGTGTCTTTTATAAGAGATCTGTTCCTGGCCGTCCGATGGAGGGTTTTAATCTAAGCCGTCCCTTTCTTATTTGCCCTAGATATATAAAGCTAGAGGAGTAGCCACCTCCATATATTTTTCAATATACTCACTCTCTCTCTATATCTCTCTACCCTATCTCTAGTCTCTCTGGCCTCTCTCGCGCAACATCTTCCGGTGACTTTTTCCGGCAGTTCCTCGGCGGCATTGCTTTCCTCTTTTCTGTGAAGTTCCTTGGCATGGTTTGATTCTCCTGTTTGTTTATTAGAGCCGCAAGGGGCTCTTTCAACTCGGTAGGCATCTGTTTTGTCGTGTGGTGCCTTGTCTTTAAGCTGTAGGGTTCTTTTTCGTCGAGTCGTGGGTTCCTGGGGTCGGTTTTGTGTGTTCGTCGCATTTTGGGTGTATATTGTGTTGATTTTCTGTCGAACAAGTGGTTTTGGGGACTGAGCCTAAAACAAAAACTAGTTCAAAGTTTTTACCCTATTTTTGTTAATAAAATCAAATTTTGGTCCTTTATATTTCATCACAATATGTTTAGCAGAGAGTAGTTCTTTTTATGGAACAAATCAACATTTTTTTTTTCAAAAGATTAATATATTATAAAATTTATTATTTTGATATCCCTTTCAAACTATTTCACAAAACAAATACACTCGTTTCTTATTTTTTTTTAAATAATTTATACCCTCTCCGTCCATTCAAAATCTTTTTATTTTTCTATATTAGTCTATCCACTCAAATCTTCTTATGTTTTTTTTAAAAGTAAATTTACATCTCATATAAATACAAAATTACTTTTATTTTATCACAATATCATTATTTTTAAACTAAAAAATAAGAGTAAAGTTATCTTTACATATCTAATTTATACTACACTTTTATAAAAGATTAAAATACTAAAATCTTAGTACAAAAAATAAATGAGAAGTCAATGAATAGACTGAGGAAATACAAAATATTTCCTTTCTTTTATATCAAAATTATTATGGGTGTGTTACACATAGTATAAAATTACGGTTTTTTGTTTTGATTTTTAATAGTAAAATTTTGAGTTAAAATTGTTGATGTATTTTTTCAACAAATAAAAAGTAAAATTCAAAGATATGGAAATATCCTTAAACTTGATTAATTAGTGCCTGAGATTAGGAATCTCTAAACACTGTACGGTACATAAGAAAATTAACTGGAAATAAAAATGCTGAAAATTTAAAGTGGTGATCCCCGAATCTGACTTTGCTTTGTTGAAGTTGATTGAAGATTCCTTCTCCAGAAAAATCAAAATCCTTAAATATTTCTTGAAGAAAACGCTTGGAACCGTCGCCTGGCCGGTTACAGCAACCGCCCAAAAGAAACGTTTTGAAACGTTGCCTGGTCAATTACAGCGACCGTCTCGTCAACTGCATAACCCAACCGACCAATCCAGCGACTAACTGGTCGCTGGACCAAAAGATTCCTTGGCCGCCCCTACCAAGCTACCAAACTACTGTTCACTTAAGTGGGCAATCAATTACCAGACCTTACTTCGCCCGACCTTCGTAGCAGCCGACTTGCAGACTTTCCGACCTATGGACCATCCGACCCGCTAACCAACCGACCTGACTATCCGACCGCAGACCTTCCGACCTATGGACCATCCGACCCGCTAACCAACCGACCTGACTATCCGACCGCAGACCTTCCGACCTGTGGACCATCCGATCCGCTAACCAACCGACCTGACTATCCGACCGCAGACCTTTCGACCTGCCTATCCGACAGCAGACCTTCTGACCTGCCTATCCGACCGAGGCCCTACCGACCTGCCTATCCGACCGCAGACCTTCCGACCTGCCGATCCGGCCGAAGACCAACCGACCAGACCAACCGACCGAGGACCAACCGACCTGACCAACCGACCTGAGCGCAAATTTTTCTTCTTTTCCACCTGACTTCGTGTCTAACTTCCTTTAAGATCATGCTATCCTTATTTTTATTATTATTATTTTTTGTGCGTAACAATAAGCATCCTTCTCAAGACTCCTAAGCGTCACTTTCAGTGATGTTTTAGGAGTTTGCAGGCCGTCATCCGAGGCCACATCAGCCTCAGATCTGACCTCCTTCTCTCGAGGCTACGTTGGTCCCGACCTCCATTCATCGTAGACTGGCGGTGGCCTGCACGTTGGTCGACCTTGCACTACCATGTCTTCAACACCTCCCCCCTGACCGAAGCCGCGATCATTCTATTTAAAAAATGATTCTAACCTTCCTGCCTTGGATGCTAAACTAGCCAGATCTCGAACATCGTGGGCTGTCAAAGCCTCCCGAAGATTGGTGTGCATTTTCCTGACCACCAAAGTGGTCATGTCGCTTTTTTCAATGATTGTCGGGCAACGTCCCTTCATTAATCGCATCCGTTATATAAACTGGGAGGCGGTCTCCTCCGGCATCTGCTCGATCTCACAAAGGTCTGTGAATGAGACTGTTGGAAGAGGAATAAAGAACCTTGCATGAAAGGCCGCTTCCAAACCTTCCCAGGTTTGTATTTTTCCAGGTGGTAGATCGACAAACCACGAAAAAGCTGTTCTGGTAAGAGACAATCCAAACAGTTGTAATTTGTAAAAAAGGTTGTTACCGATCTCTCCTAACTGTGCTGTGAACCGACCAACATGCTCTATAGTGGAGGATTTTAGTCTAAATTAGATCCACCTCATTAAACACAATAATACACTCATTAAGCAGCTCATAAATACCTACTCAGCCCACGGCCCACGACCCGCGCCTCTGACCCGCGACCCGCTTTGCCTGACCCGCCTATACTATGACCCGCGTCTTTTATAAGAGATCTATTCCTGGCTGTCCGATTGAAGGTTTTAATCTAAGCCGTCCCTTTCTTATTTGCCCTAGATATATAAAGCTAGAGGACAGTCGGGTAGTTCCGCTCATTTATTTCCGTTCTACCCACTGAGCAAGCTAGCTAGTCAGTGAGCCGTCGGAGTCTAGGCCCGAGCACGATATCCTCCATAACAAGGGACGAAGAAGACTCTCGGATGGCACTTGCTTTCCCAATTGTAACGGGATCTTATTCTTTTGAAAAGTTACCACCTCTTCTTCACTTCACATAAAACCATTCGTTCAGAGTCGCGGGAGAGGTTGGTGGCCTGCACAATCTGGTCTTGTTCTTCGTTGAGGGGATGTTTGCAAAAATGACTCCCTTCCATTTCTACTATTTCGAATGGATTAAATCGATGAATTACAATAAGAAAAGAAGTGCTAAGTTTCAGATCAGTGAATAACCCGAAACGAAAGAAGAGACATTTCTCGCTCGGCGCTCAATTCATATTTAGCCGCGAGCAATCTACGTTTGTGATCTCGTATATTTCGCTTCTCCGACATCGAATTCGATCTCGACCAGCCGCCTCCATATATTTTTCAATATACTCACTCTCTCTCTATATCTCTCTACCTTATCTCTAGTCTTTCTGCCTTCTCTCGCGCAATATCTTTCGGCGATTTTTTCCGGCGGTTCCTTGGCGGCGTTGCCTTTTCTTCCATTTATGTGGAGTTTCTTGGCATGGTTTGATTCTCCTGTTTGTTGATTAGAGCCGCAAGGGGCTCTTTCAACCCGGTAGACGTCTGTTTTGTCGTGTGGTGCTTTGTCTTTGTGATATGGGGTTCTTTTTCGTCGAGCCGTCGGTTCCTAGGGTTGGTTTTGTGTGTTCGTCGCATTTTGGGTGTGTATTGTGTTGATTTTCTGCCGAACAAGTGGTTTTGGGGACTGAGCCTAAAATCAAAACTAGTTCAAAGTTTTTACCCTATTTTCGTTAATAAAATCAAATTTCGGTCCTTTATATTTCATTACAATATGTTTAGCATAGAGTAGTTTTTTCTATGGAACAAATCAACATACTCCTTCCGTCCCATTAAAAGGTTTCCATTTTCCATTTTCGTCTGTCTCAAAACAAGGTTACCATTTCCTAATTTAGTAATTATACTACCTACCTAACATAATAAATACCCTTTCAACTTACAATTTATTACACAAATGCCATTACTTTTATATTACACCATACTAATAGGGGTATTTTTGTCTTTTTTATTACAATCCAATATAATACTAATATTCACAAATTTACGTGCAAAAAGCAAACGCCACCCTTCCAACGAGACGGAGGAAATATATTTTCTTCAAAAGATTAATATATTATAATATTTATTATTTTTATATCCTTTCAAACTATTTCACAAAACAAACACACTCATTTTTTATCTTTTTAAAATAATTTATACTTTCTCTGTCTATTTAAGATCTTTTTATTTTTCTATTTTAGTCTATCCACTCAATTTTTTTTAAAGTAAATTTACATCTCATATAAATACAAAATTACTCTTATTTTATAATAATATCATTATTTTTAAACTAAAAAATAAGAGTAAAATTATCTTTACATATCTCATTTATACTACACTTTTATAAAATATTAAAATACTAAAATCTTAGTACAAAAAATAAATGAGAAGACAATGAATAGAATGAGGAAATACAAAATGTTTCCTTTCTTTTATACTAGGTGTGTTTACACATAGTATAAAATTAAGGTTTTTTTTTTATTTATTTTTAATAGTAAAATTTTGAATTAAAATAGTTGTTTGATTTGATGTAAATATACATCATGTGATATCTTGAATTTAAAATTAAATTTTATTGTAATAAAATAAATAAAAAAATAGATATTTAATTTAGTATTTTTGAAAAAAAAATTGATATCATAAAACAAGAGATAAAATCCCACGAGTAAACAAACCCTATATTTATTTGTTTGTCCCAGTTCCCTACCAAACATAACCTTAGTTGTTGACTGTTGACCCGAATATCCTTTTTACTCTCATTGATTTTGTGTTCGATTATACAAATAAACAATAAATACATACAATGATACAACGCAACGTCAAATCTCAATAATTTTGCAACATTAGCAAAATCGACAAAACTAAGGAGGGAAAATAACTGTTTTTGGATTCGTGGCCGTTGGACCCAATAATGGTGTCGGAAATTTTGACTTATTTACTTAAAAAAAAAAAAGAAGCTAATTGCAGTAATAAAATAATAATTAAATGCTGATTAGACATCAAAGGTAGGGTTTAATTATCATTAATGATGTCGTTATTTAGAAAAAAAAGGCGGTTTGTAAAATAGAGTAATGATTGGTGGGGCCCACAGCCCACATGAGCCGTGACCGACTACTGGCCCAGCCGGTCGCCCCCATAGGGCGCAGCGGCCACGAGCACCACCCCTCAATGCTCGTTCTGTACATTGTCTTGTACATATCAAAGTTTTAAATTTAAATTGTTTTAGTTTAGTTTCAAATTATTAATCATTAATCGTGCCTCAAATAATATCGAATTGTTACATCATTATTTATTATACCCAATCTGTCCGTGGAATTAGTCCACTTTTTTTTGAACACATAATTTAAAAAATATTTGTGTCATGTAATTAATTAGTTTGATTAGTTGATGCAATAAAATTTATTTTAAATATTTTTTATTTGATAAAATATTAAATTAAAAGTTTAAATATTTTTATATTAATTTTAAAATATTGAATTTTTTATTTACTGAAATTATTTAAAAATAATAATAATTGTATCTATTATAAATCAATACATGCAATTAGATAAAAATAATAATAATAATAATAATTTAAATGTAATTAATACAATAAAAAATGTAATAATACAAATTTTATATAAAAAATACATAAAATTTCTCGAAATTGATTGTTGTTAGAAACAGTTCGTTATGACACATCAAATTCAATGCCACATTGTATATGGTATCAAAATTTTTGATATGATATTTGACGGTATCAATGTCTTATAAATATTTTGGTATACCGAATTTACGAATAAAAAATATTGAATTACGGAAATAACATATATACTCATACAAAAAAATATTGAAAAAAATTTAAATTTTCAGTATGATATGCTTTTTTTGTATAATAAAGATATACAAGATATTTTCAGTATATATAGATAATAGAAAAATTGATATTTATATATATACTGAATATTAGATATAATATCGATATTTTTTTAATAAACTAAAAAATTTGGTACAGTGTACAATATAGTTCGATATATTTTCTCAAATTGTCTCTAATTGAATTGTATTCACAGTATTATAATATAATACTTTACGTTAAAATACCAAAATTAAAAATAATGATATAATTTTGCATGATAAATAATTTTTTTATTATTTTTTGAATAATGAAAAAAATTTTAAAATCAAATATCATTTTTAATTAATTTTCCGGCCATAAATTTTTAAATCAAACATCAGTTTGTTTAATAATATATTAAAAATTAATTTAAAAAAACTTAAAATTAGATTAATACTTATTTATATCATATTAAATATTTATTTTATTTTTATTATTTAAAATTTTAGTCCAACTTCTAAATTTACAACTATACAAATAGTAAAATTAAATATATTAGTAGTAGGTAAATAGAATATGGTTAAGTTTTTAATTATAGTATTAGTTATTAATTATTAATATAATTGGCTAATTTGGTTGGATGATTAAAAAAAAAATGGACTAATTGTTAGTAATAATAATACTAACAATGATTGTACTACCATTTTAACTTTATAGACCACTTCATATGTTCATTCTTTTATATGAAAGGGTTTATAATTTGTTTTGATATTTCTATTTTATTTTGAGTGTTCTTTTTTTTTTTTTTTAGAATTTTTTTTTTGAATAATTATTGGATTTGAAATTTTATAAAAAATATTTTTGTATAGTCTTAGAACACCAACTATTGTATAGTAAAAAATCGAAATTGAATTCTAAAAGCATGGTTCGCTTAAATAGTATAGTAATATAAGACTTTGTTCTTTTTATTTTTCTTTTCTTATATTTTTTTAAAAAGAATTAATACACTGCAGATTTTTATATTTTCTACACGATTCTCTGTATTTCATATAAAAATACCTATCTTTCAACAATCTCACAAAAAAAAAAAACACACCCTAATATTTTGTGATTATATATATATTTATTTATAAAAAATAATAAAATTTGTATAGCTTATAAAATTGAAAAACAAAAATCAAAAGTAAACAAAAACTTTTTTACGTAGTTTTTCGATTTTTTTTTTAATGCAATTTTCACATTCTAAAAAAGTATATATATATATATATATCTTTTACACAAGCATTATATTCAATAATTATTTTATCTAAAAAAAATAACAAAAATAAAACCTATAAAATACTATAAATAAAACACACCCTGCCTCGATATTTTGTTATTGCAAGATGTCTTTAATTTTTTTTTTCTAATATATTAAATAAGGGTGGAATTAAATATTTTTATGTTAAATATAACTAATTGTGTATGAAGAATAAATTATGAAAGCACCGAATAGTATAATTTTTTATTTCTATTGAATTAAATCTTTATAAATCAAGTGTTGAGATTTTTCCATTTAAGGCTAAGATCTCGGATTCGATCCCAATATCAAATATTTGTGAAAAAAAATATATATTTGAATATAATAATATTTTTTAATATTACGTAGGAACTAGTATAATTTTATATTAGGATATTCTCGGCTTTGGGTCAAATTTGCATGGGTTTGTTCTTAAATTTTGCTTATAGCAACGTTTTTATTTTTTTTTTTTTTTTTTTTTTTTTTCTCTCGTGATATAGGACTTGAATTTGCTCTTTTCAATATGTTACAATTTACAACTATGAATAATCCATTTTACTTCGGGTCTAATGATTCTTTTAGTCAGGACATGATAGTGTAGATATTTTATTATTATTATTTTTTTATGAGCAGTGTTGTTGGCATTTTATATATTCTAATATTGTATCTCAATAAAAAATATATAACATATATAATTTTATAGAGAATAAAATTTTATATAATAAAAAAAAATATCTATTTATTTATAATTAACTTAAAATAAATTTTATAAAAAATAAAGAGTTTTAAATATAGATAAAAATATTTGTTTATTGAAGAGAGATAAAAATAAAATAGTTTTGAGGAGTTCTACGTGTAAGATGTTAGAAATTGAATAAAATTTATTAAATATATAAAGAAGTTATTTTTTATGGGACCAAAAAAAAAAAAAAAGGTCTTCGGGACGAAAAGAGTATTATATTAAAACTTAATTTTACATTCAAAATCTCACATCATTATTTGTTTATATCACATCATACAAATATTTCAATTTAATTTTTTTATTATTAAAATCACAATCCAAAATCTAAAACCCAAAAATCTCAATTCAAATAAAATAATACTTTATTCGTCTGTCAAATTTACTTTCACTTTCCTTTTTAGTCTGTCCATTAAATTTACTTGGCAGAGTCAACAAATCAACATTTAACTATTATTCTATATTTAATACTTATTTACAAAAAATGTCACTGTCTTTATTACATTCTCTCCTCAATTTTTAATTTCTAACTTACTTTCATTAAATATCCACAACTACTTTTTTACTTTTATCATTTTTTAATAAAATATTTATTTTTCTTAATCTCCGTGAGGGACCTAAATGTTCTAATTTTTGCAGAAGGATTGAATATTATTTAATATGTATGATTCTCGATAAAAAATATACTACTACTTTTGTCCCATGCTTACAAATATTGTCATTTCTTTTTGCTTCGTTATACTTAATATTAAAAATATTTATATAAATGTCATTATATTGTATTACACAATACTGATAGAAGTATTTTTATTTATTTTTATTTATACTACGTATTAATATAATAATTAATATTTACCTATGTCCGCCTCTTAGAGTCACATTTATCTTTTGTCCTATTGTATTTAACATTAAAAATGTCTTTATATTTGTATAATTCTTTGTACAAATATCCTTATATTAATATTATAAGACACTAATAAAAATATTTTTGCAATTCTTTTTCTTAATTTGTACTATGTTTTGATATAATAATTAATATTGAAAGATTAACACGCAAAAAGTAAATGAGACCCTTAGAGCCGGACTGAGGTAATAATATTTTGTCTTATAAAAATATCATATCAAAATACTATTTGAATCAAAATTCAAATCAAATAAGTATCTATTTTCAATCAAAACTAAACAAACTTTCTATTTAAACAATATATTGACTTCACACATATTTTTTTGGTGCAACACGATGTCACCTAACTTAGTATTAATCTATGAAAATTTTAATAAGATCCGTCGCGCTAGGCTACTATGGATTGTATTTGACTTCACATATTGACATATAGATGTGTTTTTCTAGTATTTTAAGAATTTTTTACATTTTTATTAGTATTAATTATTAAAAATTACAAAAATATTATATAAGAAAATTAATATATTTTTATTATTAACGTTGTATACGTAGAACTAAAAAAAAAAAAAAATGAAAAAACAAATGCACAATGCTTTTCAATACCTAAATAGTAAAGATGATTTGTTTACATCTTGATAAGTGAATTAGAATGATCCCCACATTGTTGAATAATAATTATAATTAGTAAATAATTAAGTAGTAAAAATAAATTATTATATAATAAATATAATTATAGATTAAGATTAAGATAACTAAGTAATTTAATTAAAATTAAGAAAATTATAAATTATAAAATTTATAATATGATTAAAATGTATAATAATATTTTCAAAAAATGAAAGGATAAATTATGTGAGACGGACGAAAATATAAACAATGTGAGACGGACAAAAAATGTGTGTTCTTGTATTATAAATGTAATATTTTAAAAATGCTATTATTTTATCATAATAAATATATAGTACATTCTTCCTCTCATTTTTAATTAGCCGATATACTATATTGCTTTTCTTGTAAAAATGAATTAGAAATTTATATTATTTTAGCAAAATTGCACAATACCCACTTGTGATTTCATGAAATTATATCAAATTCCTCTTTCTTTGAAAAATGCATGAAATTCCTTCGTGGTCTCGTAACGTCTGCTCACTAGCCCCTTACCTCAACGGGCATTGATGGTATCAGAATTTTTATCTGAATTTTCCCGTTATGCCCCTCGATAATATCTTACTTCTTTTATGTAATTTACTTATTTTAAATAATAATAATAAAACACCTTTCTCTCTCCCAATAATCTTCAACAGATGATGCAACTTCACGAGGAACATGAAGGAGACTGTTTTTCGATTCTGGCTAGCGATTTCTGTCGAAACAACCATCTAGTGCCTTGCAAAAACTTTAGTGGTGAGTTTTTTTTTTTTTTTTTTTTTTTTGTTTTTAATTTTGTGAATTAGGTTGGAATGGATGGGTAGATCGATAGGCGATAGAACTAGGCCTTTTTTCGCAAATTTGGGCGTCTCGTCGCCCGTCGCTCACATATGATGATTATTTCAATTTTAGCTCTGTAGTGAGTGTGGTTTTGAGCGAAAGGTTTTTAGGGCAAGGTTGGTTTGGCTGGGACACTGACATATGAGGTTTATTCTATAGAATAATTTGTTGTTGAATTGTTGTTGAGCAAATGCAACAGGCTTCGGAGTTTAAAATAATTTGTGTAAATTTCGTTGTCTTTGTATCGTGTGTGAACACTGATTTAATAATCATGTGTATTAACAATTATTTTTCGTTTTTGCGTGTAGGTGTGGTCCCTCAACAATGGCTGGAATCACACATGTCACTATCTATCTATGGTTGGATAGTTATATCAAATGAGAGAGCCCCACAAGAGATTACCATCGTGGTCGAATTGTATGGTTTCCAGATACTGGATGTACTTGGGAGCTCTCTATGATATGTATATCCGAGCATGGGGCAAGGAAACAGTGGTCTCATTTTGTCATGCCGAGTGTGACGACCTCTAGGATTGTTTTCTTCAAGACTTTACCAGCGTAAAAGTGATGCAAATGTTGTAAACACGTTCAAAGTTTATTACGAAAGAAATGTTATAAGCATCTACGCTGAGATTTAGGGCATTCTAATGATGGTCTGTGACGAATACGAACGACTAGTACGAAGGATCAATGAACTCTGGATGCTGCAATGGCACGGGGATTGGGCAAGTAGACGTTATGAACCAGTCAATAGCAGTGTTCCAGCTCGGGATGTAAAAGCTCAGCATGGTACAATGTCTATTGAGTGTGATGAGGATAATGAAGATACATTCGTAGAGAAGATGTGTAGAGTAAGAACTGATCAGTTTAATGATGAACCAAACGAGAACATGACCCGTGGCTTCGATCCGATAGAGGAACTACTCCGTGAAAAAGGCGAGGCTGTTGACATGAACGGTTCCGACGAGTAGATCACAATTGGCGGAGCTGCAAGAATGATTCAGCCCCTCCACCGGTACAGTTCTAATTACTCTATCATCAATTGTACATTTCATCTTCATCGTCATCCCTCTACCGTTCCATTTTCAGAGTACAAGAAATAATTAACGTAGGAGTCAAGGTAGGAACCAACACCAAAACAGAAGTGCAGACAACTCTCGTGTTGAGTAGGTATGATTTTAATTTTTACTATCGGTCCAATAATTATTCTGAATTTTAATGATTTTATTTTGCGCACATACAGCTTCAATCAAGCACGCAAGACAGTCAAAATGTCCCGGAGATTGCAACTACCGGAACAGATCAGGCATGTTGCAACATGTTAAAACAAATCATGACATTGCATAGTTATAATCTTTTCTATTGTTGTTTTGCTTCCATAGGTTGCCGCAAATACGACAATGTCCAACACAATAGACGTGTCTCATAGAAGACTGTCAATTTCACCCATCCTGCGAAGTGTGTAATTTACATCTGTTCTGCGGTGGGGACGAGGCAGAGGCACCAATATGGGAAAATAAGGTGCTGTTGTAATGCCCCGATTTCGGAGTGTATAAAATAATATTATTATCGAAAATAAATATTTTATAATATTTTGGGATCAATAAATTAATATTATAAAATAAATTTTATTCCTATTTTATATATTAGTGAAAATTATAGAGCTGTTAAACGAATAAATATCGATAAAAATAAAAATAAAAATATATAATATAATAATAATAATAATAAGTTGATGATAATGATGATATTAATAATATATAAATATAAGTATATATATAAGATGATAGCGTTTAATAATAATAATATAATATAATATATATACACAGTATATAAAGAAATGAACAAAATCTTACCTTACAACCAAAGCAACGCAGAAGCAAGGAACGCGGCGGAGGAGAAACGAAGTAGAAGAAGAAAAGGAAGAAGAAAAAAAATATAGAAAAAGATTTAGTTGTTTGATTTCAATTCCGACTCCAGTATTGTATTCTTTGCTACACTTAGAGTTTTTAATTATAATTTTAATATGAATTTAGATATTGAAGATATTAAATTAGAAATTTTTCAAAAATTCATAACTGGCTATTTGACTATTTAATCGACTAATTTTTTTAGCTAATAGCCTATTCGTAGTCCTAGCGTTATATTTTCAGAATTTCGTATCGATCCGAGTCGAAATGAAAATGACAGTGTACTGCACCAGTCTGTTTATTCATATCCTTATTTTATTTAATAATCGGGCGATATAAATATTTTGAGGTATAAGAGTTTTATAACTAGAATATCGTATTCTACTAAATATAAAAGTTTGAAATCCAACGAGCTAATTATAAAAATTAGCTTTTGAATAAGGAAGTAGCTTCTATGAATAAGCATATAGCTCATCTGATTGGAGTAAATAATGAGGCAGGTGTACGTTGGAGGAGATTTGAGTGAGATTGCAAAAGCTAAAGAGTGTCGATAAGAGGTAAGAAGTAAGGAATTAAATCTAATTTTAAGAAATTAGATATGCATGTTGCATGCGATTCTAATTAAATATGTTAATGTGATATTATGTGAATCCTTTTGTCAGTGCATGTATATATTTATATATATGTGTGTGTATGCATGTGGGAGACTTCACGGTTTATGATATTTGATATACGTATTTGATCGCGTTGGTGAATTTATAAAAAAGAGGATAGGTGAACTGTCTCACCAACCATTTTCGGTAAATTCACTTAATTGACATGTTGCACATATATATCACAGTTTATCGGATATATTTTTATGGATCTATCTTTTAGTCGTCATGTGCGGTAGTGCTAGACGAGGGCATCATCTGGGGTTAGGATATTCGATCTCGATGTACTGTAATGCTTTGGCGATAGTGGACGATAGTAGTCGGACAACTGGGTGACTTAGTCGCACGGTCATTAAGGGATTAGACCCATTGTAGTTGAGACGTATTTGGTCTAATCATTCTTGTTCGGTGTTGTTCCACTCATTGGACTGATAATTGGTGAGGTCTACCGGTAGTTTAGGATCATATGCCAAACTCCAAACGTGATCCCGTTAGGGTGCGCGAGGAGGAGTAGAGTTTCCGGGTTTCCCTTGGGTGATTCCAGGTTGCACGGATTCTACTACATTACACGGGATAGGGCTAGTCAGTGGGGGTCCTATCTTCGCTATCATAGACTATGGGGCGTCTTGTAGTTAATGGCGACAATGTTCGGCTATCCATGTATTGATTGTGGGAGTCGTATGGTGGGTATATGAAAGTGACCGGATGGCCGTTATATTATCATGGGTTTATCAGGTCCTTCCTTGAGCCGATGATTTTTCGGCTATTTATTGATGATGGTCTAGTGAGCTTGTTATTACGGGACAGAGGTTATTCCGGCTGCTCACTTAGACAGATGCAGTGAACCTGTTATTATGGAGTCGAGGTTATTCCGGCTGTTGACTTCGGCGGATGTATATATATGTGCATGTGCATTGTTGTCGAGTTTGATATCTTTGTTGCATCATTTCACTATTGGCATGACATGACACGTATTTTATGATTGACGAAAATTAGACTTTATTTTAAAAGGTATGACATGACATATTTCACGTTAGTTCTTAAAATGGTTTTAATTCTAGACTTCTTTTAAGAAAAATATTTGGTTTAGGTATGCATGACACATCTGGGGCAGGGGACGCCTCGGAATATAGAAAGACGGACTGAGTGAGTGAACTTACATATGTTGTATTATATATAAATTTTTAACTGGAAAACCCTCTTATTTAGGAGTGTGTTTTGTAAATATTTATAAATCAGATTTTGTTATATAATAATGCGCTTTTACGGTTAATTTTAGCCTTAACACTGTATTGTGGGGCCCGAAGTAGGAGGTGACGACCTCATGATGCAGTGTGGCGGTAGTATTTCCATTATGAGCCAACTGGGGATGTTACAGCTCTGTCATCTAATTCCTGTTGTGGATGCATAGCATTGCAACTTATGTTTCTTCTGACTACTTTCTAAGATTGTAAAGTTCAAGTACTTTCCCTGTCCCATAAGAAGGATACCATTTTCCATTTTTGTCCGTCCTAAAACAAGGATATCATTTTCTTATTTAGTAATTGTATTACCTACTTAACATAATTAATACCCTTACAACTTCCAATATGTTACACAAATGTCATTACTTTTATATCAAACAATCTAATATGGGCATTTTTGTCTTTTTCACTATAAACCAATATAATACTAATATTAAAAAATCTACATGCAAAAAGTAAACGTTACTCTTCTTCCGGGATGGATGTAGCATTTGGTATGATATTATGACTTATATTAGTTGTTCGCAATGGGATTATATTGTTCAGAAGTAGGCGTAAGGTAGGTTCGGTCATTTTTTTGGGGGGTTTTGTATGGAATTTTTCTTATCGAAGTATCCATAATGTAGTATCTGAAGGTTCGTTTTTGTGTTTTAGGTTAATATTGTTACCAAATTTCAAGACCTACTTAGGTACTTATTCAAAAACTTTTGAATTTTCTCGTTCCAAGGATTCATGGTCCATTTGATTTTAATGTGTGTGAATGACTTCTTGTGCTTGTCATTGGTTTTACCTATTCAAAAGCGATGAAATTTTCTAGAACATCTAAATCTCAAATAAAATATAGTACGTGGTAGACATTGGCATATGATATTTGAATAATCTCAAGCATAATTCAAATGTATAATTCAAACATACCATTCAAATACAAAATTCCAAATATTTCTGAATTTGAAACTATAGCTCCAAAACTAACCACGAAATAGACCTACATGAAAGTTATTTTTACGACAAGTATCAATACTACAAACACTAAAATTTCAAACATCTTAAGTCTTTGATTCAATGACTTTATCTCTGCGAACAATTCTTTATTGCGATGTTCTATTTTATTGAACGCTTGGGTATTCATTGACGCTGAGTTAACCTCGAAATCATTCATATTGTTATAATTTCCGCTCGATTCCCCAAAGTGGTGTTTGTAAGATTCAACCATCGAAAGAAATCACATGACCCCATTCGGCAGTTGCAAAATAGTTTCCCTATTCGGCAGTTGCAAACACAAATTATATTGACATAAATCAGACTTGACTTTGCAATGAACGAATGCAAACTTAATAACCCAGGTGTGTCACAAGCTTTACCCAATCTATTTTTTTGGAATAAATGCAAACTCCAAATTGAGTTTGCAATGAACGAAGGAGAAATCCGATTTTTGAATTTTGCAAAGTTCACGCTACTTGGTTAATGAAAAATTTAACAATCCTTTTGTTTTTCCGAAATAATGATTTTAATTTCAAATATTCACATCTTGTTGTATCAATTAATCAATTTTTTGATCCCACAAAGCAAAACAAAAATTACCAAGAACTTAACTAGAAAACCAACAACTCTCATTCCAAAATGTCGATTTCATACTTCATTCTTAAAAGAATTCAAAAATTAAACCCTATCTTTAACCCTAACACAAATCGAAATAGAAATTACACACATAAGTCTGCGATCTGTACTACTACAACAACAAATTCTACTCGAAAATTAAAAGCCCATTGAACGATTTCATAAAAAAGCAACTTAGTTTCCGATCTGAAGCTATGGTCCGGAATACTTCGGTCAAATCTGCAACATAGTATTCTTTCATGGATTGTAACAAGTTTTTTTTTAAAATTATTTTAGACTTAAATAAAAGATGATAGCCATATTGGTAACTTCAGAGCTTTAGGAAGGGATATTATGAAATCTAATCGCACTTTCAGCGCGTGAACGTCAAACATTGTTAATTGGGGACGATCGAGGTTGTACACAGACTTTATGAAAATATGAGGGGATTTCATGTAGTTTTCAAATAATGAAAGAATTTGATGCAATTTCATGAAACTACCGTGGGTATTGTGCAGTTTTATCTATTTTTTTTTCATTGAACTATTATTTTATTATTTTTTTACTTTTTACTTCTCTAATTTTTTATTTTTATTTTTTTTTTCAAAAATAGTGAATTATAAAGATAAAGATTTCCCACGTCTCGACATAAAAGATAAAAATAAACTATGGCAAAGAACAAAAGTTAATGTTTGGAAAATACGTATTTCTAATGCTATGTGAAAAATGAGACTAATATATAACCATAATGAAAATGAAAATGACAAGAATGATAGATGAAAATAATCATAATGATGAATAATAATGTGTTTTTTTTAAAAAAAAGAAAACTAATATATTTATTTTTTATGTTTTTATTTAATAAGTTGAATAGTATATTTTTTCCTACAAGTATTTAATATAAGTTTATATAAATCAATAAAAAAAATTGTTTTGTAATCCTATATAAATTGATAAATTAATCTAATCAAATTTATGAAAATTCATTAATAAAATCCATCGAATTTTGCATGACTTCTAGATTTTTTAAATTCACCTAAATCTTCTTTTTAAAATTTATTAAAATTTAATAAATCCTCAAATGAATACACCCTATAATATTAAGTTAACTAATTAATCTCATTAATTTTCTTTTTAAAATTAAAAATTATAAAATTTAAAATGAAATTAAAATATGTAATTTTTTTTC